CTAGATCATGAATAAGATGTAGATTTAGAGTGGTTTTGAGCATTTTCTTCATGATTTGTAACTCAGGAAGGAACTGTTACCACCCCCTTTATTAAGAATATGAAGATGAGCACCATATGTATTATATTTACATCTGGAATTATGCCATTATTCATTTCAGTAAGGAATTAATACCTCTGATATGGGATAAATAGATTGAGGTCAGGTAGCTTACATATGGTGCTCAGTCAAAAAATCCCTCAAGCTTAGATGCATTTTGTAATGTGAACAAACTTAAGTTTGAATACTGACTACAATGTGCATGAAATCACATTGAGAGGGGTGGAATATCAATTTAGTGCATTTCTATATCCTCTTTTTCCCAAAGATTTCAATAGAATTGACCTACAGACTGATTTCAATCTTCTTGCACCTTCAGAGATGTCTACCAAATTTTACAACTGGGAAACCGAGATACTGAGATACTGAATGCTACTCCCACATCATAGTCCAGAAAAATCTCGGATAAGATAGAATTGGATTCTCTGAGCCTTAACCCCATTTAAAACCCACCAAAATCACAGAGCTTGTAAGCGGGACAGAAATACTCGATCATGTCCCTGTTGATGCTAAATTGTTCTATCATGGATGCTTAGTACTCTAAAAACGTAACGGGTTAAATTCTTCCGAAGAATTTGCAAAACTGTAATAGCAGAGAAAAAAAAATATTGCTTCGAATTCTCAGCCAGTCTGGTCATATAACTTACTGCATTAAAACTGTCCATACTGATAACTTATATGATCAAATCTGGCCTTAGATTGTAACCATTCAACCTTCACTGGCTTCAACTGAGAATGCATTTAACTGGACCATGTCTGTTCAGTGCCTAGTGCAATGTTGCTCTGGTTCCTGTGTGGGTGCTGCCAATTCTCCCTCTATGCAAAAGCTGAATTGTACAGGGCACAGCAGCATACTCCTGCTTACATCTTTTTCAATTTTATTTAGTGTACTTTTTGTATCTTCTGTTTATTTTTTTCTGCATCCAAGAGATCAGTAAAGTCACTCACCTGTTCGCATACAGGCTACATACAGTAGCCACCATTCAGGAACACGAGGCAGCACTACTAAAACTCTGTCTCCTCTCTGTAAACCACATGCCTCAGAAAGTATATTAGCTGCTTTCCTAGACAGAAATCCCAGCTCTTCAAAGCTCCACTTTACCTCTTCTCCCTCATCATTTACCCACCAAAAAGCCGGATTTGCTGTTTGTCTTCCAACCTAGAATGCAACAGAAGACAAACCTTAAAATGTTTCATTCCTACCCAAATTAACTCCAGATAACCAATTCAACCCTGGCAACTAGTCTCTTAAAGTGATACCTATATTTCTGACAAAGAAAATAAAGTGCATTCTACTCTGAAGCTTATACTATCCAGTATCCATCAGGAAAATCAATTTGTATCATCTGAGATTTGTCCCAATGTCTATGAAGTAAAAGAAAAATACTACCTTTTCCAGTCGTGACCACTCATCTAAGACATCACTTGCAAAGTTGAAATATTCTGGCAGTTCTTTTTTACACTGGTTTATAGAGTCATAATAAGAAACAATTTGAGATGTAAAAAGCCTATTGCATCCATGGAATAATCTGCAAGGTGACCCAAGAATCCGCAAGCACTGAGGAATCCATGATTTAATAAATGTCCTCATGATAAATGATGTTTTATCAGACAGTGGGGAAATAAATCAGATGCACACCTGCAGGAATCAGTCATCTGAAATGAAAGAAAACACATTTAAAATCAACCAGGTATCGGACAGCGTCTACTTTGTGATGCTGGACAATTTAATGCAAGCCAGCTTGAATAAATGGCTTGTTTGTGCCTTTCCTCATTTCCCCCTATTATTTTATGTGACTTGTAAAATAAAAAGTGTTTCTCCTTTTCTGGCAAAGAGATCATGTGCTGTTTTTTTCATTATAATCTTTGCCCTCTACTTGGTCAGCTCATGAATGAATCTCATATCTCATCTCTAAGCTTTCACTTGCCAGTCCTTTTCTAAACATTTATATCTTGATTCCTGTAAATTCTGTATTCTATTTTGCCTGCATACAGAAATAAAATGCCACTAGTTAGAAAGTGTTTTGAGGACACTTTATGACCTTGATTTAAAACAGTCTCTGTAATTATGCAGTGTCTTAAATACACACTAGATGGCGATTCACACTGATCTTAGACACCAATAAAACTGATGAATCTAATTTATTTACTTGTGAGTTCTATTTTCACTGGGACATGGAATAAATACAAAATAAACGCTAGTCGATGGAAGGTGAAATGCCAAAGACTTCCATTTGCTTTGCACTTCAGCTGAAGTGTGCAACTTGGAAAAAGATACATGTTGTAAAACAAACTTGCAAAGAAAATTCCAGCATTTCCAGTTTCTCCTAGTCTTTCCTACGCACCATACAGGTACATGTGGAAGAGACAAAATTGATGATACTGCAGTTATTTAAAGCCCAGCCTTGTAAGGCAATAAAACTGGATCTCTACTCACAGATGCAGAATCTTCTGATAAACTTCTTTTGAGTGTAATCAATTTCTTGATGTTTTTAAACCTTTCTGTGGCATTACCTCCTCCTTATTTAATAGCACATACCTATCTAACACTGATACTGCACAGTCACTTTCATTATGTATTGCAAGTGGAGATGTCGTAACAGGTTGAAGTGTTCAATGCCAATAAATAACAGTAACTGTGACAACTCTAAATCACTGTATTTGTGAGGCAAAACAGAGAAATGCAAGCAGAAGGTGCTCACATGTGAGGCATGTGTCAATGGCTCTCTATCATAGAACAACTTCCAGGGTGTAGGTAAGTAACACAGCCGAAGGCCCAAGAATTGTATTTATCCTGCATTCAGCACTTCCTGATGACTAGCCTGTGACTTCTGCAAAAGGCAGATTTTCCATATACCTCTCAAAAACTGTAAAGCACACAATGAAGGAGCCAGAACTAGTCAGCACTGACGAAGAAAGGTGCAGAAATGTGACTTAATCTGCTGCATGCCCAAACCAAAACGCTGTTCTCCATCAGTTTCCATTTTCTGTTCAACTCACTAAATACCACTCCTTTCCTCATTGCAAATCTGACCTGGCAGGACTGACTGCTGTATGATCCTCCCCTTTGTGCAGTTTCCTTCCAGGACATAACGGTTAGGAGTCCTATCCAAAATAGTGCCCATTTCCAACAGGAGATTTCCAGGCAGCTTTTGCATTGACTGTTACTTGTTTTAGTGGCAGAAAGGGGTTAACCAGCTCTCTAAGCAAATGGTTTTGTCATCCTACTGGTGTTCTGGAAGCCTCAGGCTGTCTTCTGAGCTTACAACACAGCCTGTTCAGAAAAGACAGGCCTTAGCAGGTTCTCCCTGTACTTCCAGAAGATGCTTTTTAACCCTCTTAGGATGTTACTTGGAAGGCATCTTTGGAAAGGAGCCTGTTAGGAAGAGAAGAAAACCACAAAGTCAAACAGGAGACTCTTATCTTTCTGGCCTTCTTTTTTGTTTAGTACCCGATTACTGCATCTGTATGTATGTGTGATCTTATCTTGCAAGCAGCCTGAATACACATCTCCCTCTGATTTCATTATGCACCCTGTGCAAGTGGTCATAGGACACACCTCAAGGTACATTACAACCCAAAGCCTTTGATATTGATAGGAAAGCGTTCACTTGAGACCCAACCCCACTCACACCAGACATGAAAACAACCTAAATTGAAGCAAAATGCCACCCAAGATCTTTCACCTCCAGTAAAAGGGAGCTTGCACATCAACAACTACTGCAAACACTCCTTCCTTTAGCAGGACCCTCCTGATACCAGATTTTTCATCCTTCAGCCTAAAGGCATGAAGGAGCAAAGCAGCACTTAACTGCTCCCGAAGAGAAAGTAAGAGTCATTATTGGAGGCAATTTCTTCAACTATCAGTCTGGTTCTACTAATCCAGACCCACCTGCCCTCCAGTGAGCTCTGTCCTTGTCTGTGCCAATGCCACCACCACAATACCTGGTCCTCTCTAGAGAGACTACAGCTTTGGGGGTACAGTTCACAAATTTCAGCACAGTTTAAGGGTCAAAGATGTTTCTGCTACAATTACATGACTGGCAGGGATTTACAGAAATAACTATTTCTTGGGAAATGGTGCCTCAATCTTTTTGTAATATACTTCTTAAAATGTTCTGGAAAAAACATTCAGGGAGGCCTCATAGTTCACAGATACAGCTGATGGCTATCCTAAGAATGAAATAGAACATTTGGTCCCTTCAGCTTACTCTACAGTTATTAGCTGTGTGAAATTGTGCTACCACTGAAAACCATGGCAAAGTCTCTGGTTTAACCCACAAAGTAATACCTTACTCGAACTACAACTTGCTACTTCCCATCCTTAGCAGAGATAGGAGCCTCACAAAGGCACTGAAGAAACACAGATATTAAAATTACATATGCAAAGCAATGGGAGTTTTTCCTGACTACAGAATGCTCTGAAAGAGATCCATAATCGGACAGCTCTGTAAGCACAACAGACATCCAAATATTCAGCAGAGGAGCAGCCCTCCAATACTGCCCCAAGTATCCCACTTACTGTTTCATCTGCAGCTCTGCATTAGGTAATGGTGACACAAGCAGGCTGCCTAATTAGAGAAGTGCACTACCAATGAAATGGTGCTTCTGCAGGCAAGGAACAGTAAATCCACCTTCCCCACACATACTTCTTTTCCAAACACTGCTAAAGTCATTAACTTTATTAATCTTGCCGTGTAAAGGTGCAGTTGGCTCCACTGGTGGTAGACTCCAGTATCAACCTTATCAGCCTCTTAGTTTGGCTGACAGAACAGCAGCCATTTAAGCAGCAAACCCTACTGCTTAGTGCTCCTTTGCTTCCTTCTTTCCAGCAGCCATTTAAGCAGCAAACCCTATTGCTTAGTGCTCCTTTGCCTCCTTCTTTCTCAGTAACTGGACAGATGAAGACACATCAGTTTTTCCTCCTGCCATTATTGTTTCTCACAGGCCTCCCGGCAGCAGACAGCATAAGCCCAAATGAAAGAAAGCCAAAGAAAGCCAAACTCCTCAAAATAAAAAAGGAGAACAATGTCCTCTTGCTGAAAAAGAGCAACTTTGACAGAGCACTGAGGGAAACTAAGTACCTGCTGGTGGAGTTCTGTGAGTATCAATTTCTGCTATCTCCTACCCTGATGGCTCTGCAGAGCATGACTGATGCTGTGGCACTTGGGTATGCTTGTTTTACCATTGCTTTGTCCCCCAGTAGTCCTTGTTTCTTTTATTTTTCTCCATGTGTCTATTTATAACCACAATTTATTTATTTACAGTAATTTATTCCATTTTGGGGTGGTTAAATACCAGTCTGCTGCATAAGACAGATACTGCGAGTAACATGGGTCCTCACATAAAATACTAAGTTGACATTCTCTGCTTCCACTGCCTGATTTTGCAAGTATGTGTTTCACAGCAGTGATGGGTGAAACTCTAGGTATTAAAAAAAAAAAGAAAAGAATCAGAGAAGGCTTTTCTCCCTCTTACATTTTCATCAGTGCTTTGTATCAGGTTTTTGGTGGGTGGCATGTCTCCTCTGTGAGAGTTTGGGCTTCAGGGAACATCTTTTTCCAATATTCTGGTGTCTCTAATTGCATTATGTTGGACTCTTT